CATTATATGTCCCCAAATGACATGATCCTCAGTTTGGATATGTGTTTCCTCTGTACGGTCTTATTTTAGTCATTGATAAAATGTTAAACATGATAAGGCCAAAATTTCACCAGGAAACATCATCCAGATTGGAAATGTTTCACTAATTACCCAGTTGTTAACTCATCTAGTTGTCCCTATATTAAGACCATATTTCTAAATATGGTCCATAGGGACTATATAAGTTATTTTCAAGTTCCTTAACAAAATCCAAATATAATGACTTATAAGAGCCAAAGATCTTTAGATTTTTATTCACTCTTTAAACAAATTTTTATTGCATGTATACTTTGTGTCAGGCACTAAATTGATCTCATCTCTGGTGACTGAGTCAATAAGACGCTGCTCCCAAGGAGCTTACAATCTAGTGGGGAAAGCAGAAAATTACAATTGATGATTACCATACAGTATTATAAACATCAGAGGCAATTAGGGAACTACGGAAGCACAGAGTAAAATTATGTAAATCAAATTACCAGATTAGGAAAGGCTTCCCAAAGGAGATAACAAGGTTTGAGTCTGAGGTCATTATGGGACCGTCAGATTAAAATCTGGTTATGTGGGAGAGAAGTCTGGGCCAGGCATACAGACTTAAATGTGTTAAAAAGAAAACCATTGGCCCAAAATGGTGTCACTTAAGGCAAGTCACCAAATACGGACCTAATACCTTACCCAACTGCATTTCAACCTACCCTAAAAATGCAGTCTTAAACTGGACAGTCAGGAATTTTCTGATCATCATCAATGAGGAATCTGTCACACGTGCCCTCTCAATCCCCCCAAAAATGAGGTAATCCACCTAATAAAATCCCTTGCCCTTCCCCTTAAGGAAAGGTAGCCTTGCCTGAAGCAATCCTTTCTTTTGCTAATAACCTCTTGCCACATTCTCCTTCCTATAAAAACCTTCCACTTTGTACAACTCCTCAGAGCATCTCTCTACTTGCTAGATGGAATGCTGCCCGATTTATGAACTGCTTAATAAAGCCAGTTAGATCTTCAAATTTACTCAGTTGAATTTTGTTTTCTAGGAAGAGTCAGCAGTGAAAGATGATATTTATAGCCATGGATTTGGACAAGACCACTGAGGTAGGAGTTAACTAAAGAAAAAAGAAAGCACTGGAATTTCAGGTAAAGGGAAGAATACTTCCAAGGGGTGAAAGGTCAAGTGTGTATGAGACCTGACTCATATGTGTTGGGTTGGGAGAGGGGCTGCGATAGAAAGATACTGCTGGAGATGTCAGAGTCCAGTTCAGTAAGAGCTTTTTGTGTGGAGCCAAGAAATGAGCCAGAGGCCAATTCAGCAAGAGCTTTGTCTCTGGAGCCACAGAAAACTACAGAGGCCGTTGAAGGGCTCTAAGCATTGGAATTGCTTGCCTAGATTGAAGATTTAGAAAACATCCTCTGGGGTCAGTGTCCAATATGAACTGATGGAGGAAGACAAGAAGCAGGGAGACTAATAAAGAGTTCACCAAAATGGGTAGAGAGGAGTAATTGAAGCAGTGCCCACAGGGGAGTGAAAATGAAGGACATATTCTGGAGATGAGAAAGACTCTGAACTGAGAAGTCTTGGACACTAATGAATTTGAGATGTTTCAGTAGAAAGAGAAGGTCTAAGGAGATCCCCAGCATTTCAGTTGGCAAAAAAGGTAGTGGTATCATTTGCTGGATAAGGAAACACTGCATCAGGAGTGGTGGGGAGGATTTCTGAACTCAGGTTTTGTCATCTTAAGTTGAGTTTGAGGTCAAAATAGGATAGCCAGGTAGAAAATATTGGATGTATGGATATGGCATTCTTCAAAGAACTCTGGGATGGACATAGAACCTTAGGAGTTAACAGTGAATAGATGGTAGTTACAGCCATAGATTTGGACAGAATCACTCAGGCAGACTATACATAATCAGAAGAGAGACCCAATAGATGAAGGTTAATGTTAAATTCAAGCTGTAAAATAAAAAGCTTACTGTATCCAAGGACTTTATCATTTTTTTTTCTCATTTACAGTTTATTTCTTATATTTTAATATGTATGAAATTTCTAAAGTTTTTGAAAGGAAATTTATCAGATAGCTTGTCAATGTGGTACTACTGTTTCACTTATACATCAAAAAACAATAGCATAAATTTATGTTATAGCATCTCAAGACAACATGAGTTAAAAAATATATAGTAAAAGAGCCAGGAAAGTTTATGATACAATTCAAGCTCAACATCAAAATTAAACTCTAGAATGTTAAGGACCCCAAGTGTTTTATTTCTTCTACATTTTAAAACCTTTTTCTTCTTAGTTACAAGTCTTGGCTGGGGGAGAGAATATTGTTACAACAGTAAAACAGGAAATTCTTGCTCACTTTTGCTACACTCACACATTAACTGCATGTGTATATACAACCTCATTGCTTCATCAACCCTATTCAAAAAGAAAAAAAAAACAATTTAAATAAATAAAAATATCACTGAACAAGATTTCACCATATTGAAGAGCATATGGTAGTCTGTACCTAAATTTCATAATCTCAAATATTCCTCTTAGTCAAAATATTTTATACTTTATCAACTTATACAAGATGGACTAACTGGATCATCCTCTAAGAAACAAATGATTTGCATATTCTTTCACAGCACATTATTATAGCTGAGATTCTTAATCTGGATGTTCAAAGAAATTTAGTATAATGGATCCAAACACAGCCAGAGAAAACTCTAGTCTTCTGAAGTTCATAATGCAGTGTTAATAAGTCAAAATTCTTAATAAAATGCTCAAACAAAAAAAAATATGTAAATCTTATTCTCCAAGGCACACCTGCTTTTTAATAAGTCAGATTTTTAGAGGCATCACCATGGCAACTGTTAATAAAGTTTTATCTAGTCTCATAATTATAATAAAATAAAATAAATAAAATAATTAAAATTTAAATTTCATGGCAGAAAATTTCAACAATAAAATTTCAGTTAATTACACAACATATCTATAATACTGTGATATGGGCTTACCAAGTGTATGCTGGGCCTTCTATTTGCCAAAGAGAACCTTATTGTTTCATTCTTAATCTACTAGATTTAACTAAAAATCTGTCCTAAATAGCCATACACACTGGAAATATATAGCCAGTTTATATGTAAGACAATTTAATAGCATAATTCTGAAAAGGGATAGAATGTCCTCTAAAGGACTCTCATAAGATATATGGTAGTTAGGGGCGTCAGGGTGGCTCCATAGGTTAAGCATCTGACTCTTGGTTTCGGCTCAGGTCATGATCTCATGGGTCGTGAGATCGAGCCCCATGTTGGGCCCCGCACTCAGTGGGTAGCCTGCTTGAAGATTCTCTCCCTCTGCCTCCCCCCACTCTAAAATAAATAAATTAAAAAAAAAAAAAAGATACGTGGTAGTTCTAAGGCTTGATGTTGCCATCTTCTGAACTCTTTGATTCATGACATTTGATTGGGGGGGAGGCGAATGGGCAGGAGGTAGTGGAAAAAGAGTCCTATCAGCTTCACATATAGAGAAACCTGATCGATTGAAGTTGACCTGACTCCACACATAGAATCACCATGACTGTAACACATATGCAACAGTTTGTACCAATATGCCAACATTCATCAAGTAAAAGGTTAATATAAAAATATCTAAAACATGAGAATGTGTCTTTTTGCTTGGGAGGAGTAAAGCCTGACAATGTCCAGTTCCCTAACAGGCTTATCTCCTGGTTGTGACACAAAAACTCTGAACACTTGAAGAGTAGTGATGGTTGCAGATGGTGATTATTCCTAAACCTGCCCCATCAGATACTTCATACCCAACTGGGCAGATGGCCAAGGAGGGACACATGAATATAACTCAGGGCCATCCTGTAATACACCCAGAAATCTGGCGCTGACAGCAGACTCTGCAGCACTGAAAAAAGTAGGACTAATAAACTTGAAAACCAAGAGATACTTCTAAATCGGGAGCTTTATTTAATGCTAGACTATATGTGCATCTTGACACTCTCCAGACTTCTGGCATCACATAGTCATACAGATATCCATCCCAAAATGCCAATTCTAATATCCTTTCTTAACAAAATAAACTTCCCAAAATGTTCCTTACTATCCTATACCGAATATCTACAAAACTGTAATAGTCTACCTTTAAATAATATTGATGCTGAGATGTTACCTGTGATCAATATGGCATTTAAAACATATTAATTAAAAAATGACCTATAACAGGAAATTAATTTTTATTCCAGATCAATGCATATGTGATCTTATTACCTGAAAACACCTTACATTTGTGAAAGTTATTTACTTACATATTCTTCAATTGCTCTAACCATTAGGTATTATTAAGAATATGCTGTTATTCACCAGTAATATTAGCTCTTCCTATTAAAAAAAAAAAAAAGTCCAAACTACAAAAGGAGGAGTGGGTGATTTGGATTTAGATTTTGTTTTTACAAGTAACTTCAAATTTAGTGACATATTTTTTGAAAAATATCCTAATTTTCCAATCTAAGCCCTTTGCAGAAAAATATTAAAATAGAAAACTGATCTACTCTGTGCATTTTCTTCTTCCATGCATCAATATAAATACACCTTAAAAATCATATTTTAGCTAATTTTTAAAGTGATATTCATTTTTAGGAATATTTTTTAAAAACCATCTTTTTGAACTGCTAATTTGCTCAAAACATGGAATTTCAGTATCCAATTATCGTTGCATATTTGGGGTACGAGAGAAATAGTAATGTTTTTTCTAATTTTGTAAAAGATGTATAGAAATTATGTAATCCCAAAGCATGAACAAAACTTTATAAAACTTTACCTTAAACACTAGGAATTAGCTATCACATTCTAAATCTCTCTTGTGAAACCAATGGGTACATATGAAAAGTTCTGCTGATATGCTTCAAACCACCTTACTTTGATTAAAAATGCAGTAACATTTCTCCATATAATAATATAAGACATGAAGGACGTACGATGGGCATAGATACTGCTTCTTTTTCCCCTTCCCTTTCTTTGAAGACTTCTCTTTAGAATAAGCTTCTTCAACCCACAAGGAAATTAAAATAAAAAAGGCAATCGCCAATAAAAACTTCATCTTGAAAGTTAAATTTCAGGAGATCAATCTACAAGAAAGAAGAAGAAAATGTTTACATAAAATGATTAACAATACAACTCTAAGGAGTATGACCATTACTACCCAACTGACAAGAGCATTTGTACATGAAATTCTCATTGCTCGAACCTATGTGGTTAGCCTTCATTATATATTTGTGATGTTTAGCAGTAAGTGTTAAATAGAATAATGGCTCATACAAAATACAATCCCAAGGAGGTATAAAAGTATGCAAAAGGTATAAAAAAGGTATGCAAAATTTCTGATTTTATAGCTACAGACAATTGTATATTGACATTGAATTGAATTGCACAATCTATCAATGTATGTATAGAAAGCCACCTGCAAGGATGTTTAACACAGTTTTAAAATGGTTACCTTCTCCTTGTACATTTGGATTTTTTATTTCTTTTTTCAATTTCTATATTTTTGAATTTTGCATGTATATTTTTTCAAAAATGATAAAGCTTTTCTAATGGAAAAGCCAATTCTAACTTAAAGAATTGACAGAGATAAAGGAAAAAATTAGAATCAAAAGTTTCACACTTTAAATTCATTGTTTTTATTTATACCCATTAAATTTGCAAGTTACATTTTACCCAAAAAGGGTGCATATTGATTTAAGGTAGCTTGTTGGCTTTCCCACTTTCATGTTATTAACAGTTATCGTAGATGATTTTTGATTCCACAAATTCTAGGTAACATAATATGAAAAAAAAAAACAGCAAGTATGGTCAGACTCTTCCAAATAATCTTCTTAGTCCTATTTTAATAACATTTTCTATGCTCAAATGAGAATTATATTCTTGCCGGTCCGATGCATCCAAAAAAGAAAAAAAAAAAAAAGAACTTTAATATTCTGGAATATTTAAGCCTCTTTTGCAGTCCTTCATTTCCAAACCATAAATTGTTTCTTCATCACTGTTTTCTGCAGACTAAGAGATCTATCAGATCCTTCAACATCCACTTAATTACTATCTCGCCCTTATAATTTTGCTTCTCTTATGTCATATTTTGCCCCTTCCTTTCTCCCAAGAATTCTTATTTTCTCCCATTTATCCTTTACAGCCCCTATGGCAAGCCAGAAGGGCTTCTTCCCTGGCCCCCTCTACCGAGGACAACAGAGGGGACTTATCATGCCAAGAGCAACAACAGAAGGCTCTCCTCTGTCAACTTCCAGCATTGGACGCTCCCTTCCCCCATCCTACGGTGGCATCTGCTTCCAGACACCTCTGTCCACAGCAGCAGGTACTTCTCCCGCCTTCACATTCTTCCCCAGGAAAACAGGGGGGCCATCCTAACGGTTTGAAGGGTCGAAGAGAAATTCAACCCTATGCTCCCTGTCTTCACCTCCAACCTTTCAAAGGGGACAGCTGCAATGACTGAAGGAGCTTCACAAACAAAACAACGCAAGGAGCCCTCCCCGCAAATCCTGCGTTCTCCCAATTCCTCCCAGCTCTCTGCAGCCCTCCATCCGGAGCGTATCTGCGGACTCCACCGCACCGGTGCATCCGTGACCCGGCTGCCGGGCGCCCCGCGCCCTTTTACCCGCGCAGGGCAGCGCTCGCCTCCTCCCCCTGCACGCCGCAGTGCTCCTCGCGCCTCCACCACCCCAGGCTTGACCCGGTCTTTCCGCAGAGCGTTTATTCCGCCGCCTCCCACAGCGGGTCCTCGCCTGCACTCCACCCCCACCCCAGCCAAGAGCCCCCGACACTTACCCGAGGCGTCCCCGCCCGCAGCCGCCAGGCGAGGACGCGGCGGCTCGGGGCCCAGACGGCGGTGGCTTCTGGGGGCGCGGCGGGCGCAGAGCGGGGG